TTATTTTTTTAATTATTTAGTTAGGGCCTTTCTACATTAAGGCAACGATATGTAGGTGCAAAATTTTCTTTTAAAAATAATAAAAAAATACCGAATTACATAATAAAAAACTGTTCCTATGTACCTATGTATGTATAGGTAGAAGCAGTTATAAAGAAATTAACAACAAGTAAAGCATGCATTTTTATCAATAATATGGTTAACCTTCCAACTACCAAACTGATTCAATTCGCAGCATGGAAATTCAAAGAAACAAGCAGATATCGAAAGCTGAAGATTGACCACCTACTCGGCAGCCGGTTCGAAAACGCCCTATATCAGAAAATTTTTCAGGAACATATTTCAGAATTTGGTTGAAGAATGCCCTATCTCAGAATTCGGTTCAAAAACGCGCTATATCAACATATTTTCAATAAGTTTTCAGTTAAAACAGGGCGTTTTTCAATTCAATTCTGAGATAGGGCGTTCTTCAATCATATTCTGAAGTAGGGCGCCTTTGAGCTGGCTGCCGAGAGAGTTCGATTGCCCACTCAGTTGTCGATATAGGAATAATTTATCAATGAAAATTCTTCCAATTGTCGCCAAACAGAGTGCTGAACTAGAAAAAGAACGAATAATGAAAACGGCCTCTATGACAACCATGTTATGTATTATACCGTGCGAAAAAAAAATAAATAAATAAAAAACACACGAAACTATGGACCAGATATAGTGAAACTGCGTTTTCGGTTTTCTATCTGACGTCAGAATACATACTTTTAAAAGGACTTTCTAATTTCAAAGATATGATTAATTAAAAAATTATTCAAAAAAATTCAGTTCAAAATAGAATAATAATAATATGGGTAACAAATGAAGGAGTAAGTTCTGTAGATTTAAAAAAAAAACAAGTTTTTTGATTCTCATGGGCGAATGGGTATCGAAAATGCCCTTTTAATTAAATTTATATTTTAAGCTAATATAGTTAGAGGGACGAAATTCGAGGTTGTGATCGTGAGTATATTAGTACTTAAAATAATTTTAAAATGCATATTGCAAATGTTCAAGGATATTCAAGGATAGCAATTTTAAAGGGACATTTTCAGTACACTGAGCCAAAAGCAAAATGGTTTTTTCAACCAAGTTATTGTTTGATTTTTTCATGGTAGATAAATACATCGATTGTAAGAAATGTGATTCATTTGAAAACATATTTGTATGCCTGTTAAACGTGCAGAGATGATTGCTGTTATTTGTTGGCTTCCAGTAATTTCAGGTTTGAATGCCGTAATAGCCGACATTGTATTTTTTTATTTTTATTTTTGGTTTTACACGATCAAACGAAGAAGAAAATTTATTGAAGTTAAACATTTGAGGGCAAAATTATAGAACGGCTGTAGCTGTGTGTGCAGAGATGCTTGTTGTTATTTGCTAACTTTCAAAAGGTCCGGGTTCAAATCCCGTCAGGGATAATGTGTTAAAATGATAAAAGAAATTTTGGCTTTGTATCTCCGAATTATGAAAATGCATTTGTGAAGTGCAGAGCGAAAAAATCGGCAACCAAAAATTTGTTTAACGTAAATAAAAGTGTGTTTAATATTACCAAATCATATTTGAAAATATCAACCAAGGCATTGTTAATAAATATTAACCAAAAGTCGCGTTGATTCCTTTTCAAGTTTGAATTTGGTAATATTAACAAATTTTTAGTTGATTTTTTCTAAGTATACCTATTTGTCCTTATTCACCAAATTTAAACTTTTTTAATTGTACAGAATTTTTTCTTTTATTTGATACCCATATTGTTATTCTGCATTGCACTGAGGTTTTAAAATAATTTTTTGAATTAATCATATATTTAAAATTCCAAAGTCCTTTTGAGAAAACTCCTGACATCAGAAAAAAAATATATGAAAACGTAAATTTACTATTTTTGGCCACTAGTTTCGCGCATATATAGATTTTTGTGTGTGTAAAATTAAATGTCGCGCGGTGTTGTACATATGTACCTATGTATGTATGTATATGGCAAATCCTACTATAAATTCCTTCGATTCGCTCTTTAGTAGGTTCGTCTTCCCAGAGGTTAAGTTACACATTCAAAAAATTAAGACGCAACGAAGAAGAAACGTAGTAGATGGATGCCCAAGCGAAAACACACACTCTGTTGTGTAAGCTCATATGTGACTCATGCGCCCATTACTTAACGTGTGAGATGATACTATATTTTTTTTCTATCAGTTAGAGGGTTAATAAAAAGTTCAACTATATTTCGAATTTATATATGTTTTGCGAATTTGCTATTTAATAGCAAACTAGTTATCACTCAGATCAGTTGCGCGGTTACTTCTCAAGTGAAATGTTAACACTGTGGCTGAAATTGCAATTGTTGCTGGCTGTAAGCAGCGCTTTGGGTAATTGCGAAGTCATATAATTTTTTTTTTTAATAATTAAGTTGTACGAAGCGATTAAAAATATTAAGAATATACTTTGAAAGTAAAATTGATGTACAAGATTCAAACTTAAGCCTAGTTTCTAGCTGTCAAAAAAAAATCTAAAGAAATATTTTTCATTATTTATGTTACTTGAAGAAGTGATTTGCCGTTGTTGTAAACTTTCTTAAAGAAATGAATATAGCGTTTGTTTTTTGAGAGCTGCAAATGATTAAAGAAATTTTTGTTAGATGTTACGTAATTTTTTTTCTTGAGAGCTGAAACCCGATGTAATACAAATTTCCGGGAAGGAGTAGAATTACGTCCGACCTTTCCCCAGCCCAAAGCTTGTTGAGCTTTTGAAGGAATTCCATTTTGCACGTTCGGGTCAAGCAGTCTCTTCGGCGTTTTCTGCAAAAACGAAGAAAAACTGATTGACCAGAAGTTCTTAGAAGAAATATGGGAGGTTTTGCCGGTCCTTGGTATAAACGAAAGACCACTCTCTAAGCCCTGGAAACATTTACATATGTACATGAATCAATTTTGATTCGTCGGACCCTTCACAATCAATAGTGATAGTTACTAGTTATTATTGAAGGTATCACGTTCTTAGAAAAATTGGTTCATCCAAACGATGAGCTTGAGTATAGTATAGGATAAGATAACATAGGATAGGCTAGGAAGAAAAGGAACGTATAGTATAGGATATGACAGGATGCTAGTTGAATACGGTATGAGAGGATAATATTGGAAATAATAGGATAGCATGGGTTAAAATAATAAAAGATAAAATAAGATAAGATAGAGTAAGGTAAGAAGGAACAATTTTATTTGATCCTCTTTTTTGGCACCACAAAGAAGCATTGCAAACTGCTTAAATATACCCCATAGAGTTTTTCAGTGAGAGTCAAGTTTTTATTAAATTTAAGCCTCATTAATACTGTTCAGTCTAGAAAAAGGTGTTGAGCTGATTACGCCTCACTCGACCTCTAATCGGTGGCGATACTATGAGTTGAGTTTTATGTTAAGTCACACGACATGAGTTCCTATGAGACAGTGTGCGGACAAGATTCCTATGCAATATTGTGTGCTTAATAATTTTTGGTCCACCGCCAGTTCCCCGTCCGTTGGAACGCCACTAAAATTTCTCAATTTTCTGGTTTAGACCAACGCTCCCCTTAAATCGCTTGGGCTCCATTCGTGTTTGCAAAACACCTTGCGACTGCACATATCCTCAAAACACCTGCGTCAGTATAGATCGGATCAAAGTCTCACCGTATCCAATGAGATAGTAACTGGTCAAGACTTTTGTGCTGGTTTGTGTCCCTAATAACTCCTAAGCCCAGTTCTCTTATTGGAACTCTTCGCAGTTCACTGTTTCGAGATTACCAATATTGAAGAGAATCGATAGCATTAGATTAAAGCCAAGGTCAGTAACCAACCTCCAACTTGCAGCTAATTTGAATACAAAAAAAAAATATATCTAATTTTTACCCCCTCTTTCCAGCTGACCCCTGCAAAATTACCTTACCAACGGATGTGGCCAACCCGCAGCCAGTTATTGTGACACAGGAAGGACTACTACGACCAACCAATGCAGTAACCGAAATAGCTGAGAATGATAAGATTACGCTGCATTGTGCCGGCAAAGGAAATATGTTGGTTGCTTTAAGTGAGCAAACAGCTAAACTTGAGTGCCAAAGTGGAAGTTTTTACGATGAAGAAACAGGAAAGGAATTTGCACTCAATAAACTAAATTGCACTCACATACCCACCGCTGAGGTGTTGGTAACGGAAATTGCTTGTGCGAATGGCACCGGTCTCCTGCACGAAGTGGGTTTCGCGGTAAATGATGAGTTCCAGAGTCTATTTACGATTTGCTATAACAGAGAAAATGTGCAAACGCTCTACTCGCGTAATTTATTGAATGGACGGGGGCTGGATGGTAAGTTCAACCATGATGAAAAATAGGAAGGTTGAACCGCTGAGAGGAATTTTTCAAATTCTTGACGTTTGCAAGCAATTTAATTTTAAAATTTTACGCACAAACTCACACACACATTCTCCTTTTCAATCTCAAACGACAACTTTGAACAATTCCTTTTTTTACTCTCAATTTTATACGATTTTAAAATGTTGGCAAACTTCAAAAAAAAAATCATGGCCGACGCATTGAGAGAACGGTTTTACCTTACTATGCTTTTATCATGAGTTCAACCACACGAGTGGAAAACGATTTGTAGTTTTCTCAGCTAAATTTCAACAAAACCATTTTTTTTTTAATTTCCACTCAGTTAAAATTATCGATAGCACACGACGTTCTTTCCGCGCTGAGGGCATGCGCTTCACCACTACAGCCATAAACAACCTCTACACGACTAAAAATCAAATTGCGCGCTTTAAAACGCTTTTCGGCGCCGATCAAGCCTACGTGAATCGCACAAGCTTTTTGGCGCGCGGTCACCTCACGCCAGACGCTGATTTTATTTTCACTTACGAACAGTTGGCCACTTATTTCTATATCAATTGTGCACCCGAGTGGCAGGTGGTAAATGCTGGTAACTGGTTGCGGGTGGAAAATTTGGCACGTAAGTTAGCCTCCTCACTTGGATCCGATTTATTGACATTCACTAGCACTTTGGGCAAGCTAGAGCTAGAAAATTCAAAGAGCGGTGATTCGGAGGCAATTTACTTGGATAAAACAGAACTAATATCGGCGCCACAATGGTACTATAAAGTGTTAATGCATCCTGAATTGCCCGTGGATCTAGTCATTATAACACTGAATGATCCCTTTGCCAATGTTGACAAAACGGTGGAATTTTGTACGAATGTTTGTGACAAGTACGGCTTGGCTGACTCGTCCGTCTTCCAAGTCGCCAGCCACGGCTATACATTCTGTTGTGAGTTGAATGATTTCTGGGAGAATGCGATGGACACAGATACTCCATACTATGATTTACCAGAAGGGTGGAGTTATAAAAGTAATTAATTTAGAATATACAAAGAACAAAAAATAAAAAGCTTATGCAATTTGAAAATATTTTTCCGAAGTTGATTGATAATTAAAGTTATGTGTATTAGACACACCCTAAGATTTGCCCATTTGCGAAAGTAGGTAATTCTTCACAATTCAGCATACCGTTGGCAGAGCCAGATCGTAGAAATTTCAGCAATCATGTCGACTTTATATGGGCGCTCCTCCGATAATTTGTGGATCCATTGTAAAGCAGTACTCAGACCCCATCGAGTACTTTCTCATTCCCTTTCACGTCTCAAAAAGAATAAGGCCTCTATTTCAGCGAAAGGAAGGGCTGTGAGTGCGACCTGTGTGCTAATTTCATATGGCATTGAGCCTCGACACACTAGTGTTTCCAGATTGTCTGAAATATGGTTTTCATGGGGCAGAAGACGAAAAGAGTAGTATGTAGTTTCTTATTCTTCTTTTTGGCACTGTAACCACCTAAGAGATTTCGGTCGAATTCAACAAAGCACGCCAGTCATTTCTCTTCTGCGCCAACTGATGCCAAGTCCTTCTGCAATTGGTCTCCCCTCTGCTCCCACCAGTGGTCCGAGATGAATACTTTCAGAGCTGGAGCGTTGGTGTCCATTCGAACGACAATGCCGAACCAGCGGAGCCGCGGTATTTTAATTCGCTACACTATGTCCATGTCGTTGTAAAGCTCATACAGCTCATCGTTACATCGTCTGTGATACTAGCCGTGACCATCTCTCGAATACTCCAAGAGCCGCCTCATCGGGTGTTGTCATTGTCCATTGTTCTGCGCCATATACCAGCAAGGGCATGATGAACGACTTAAGGAGTATGGTTAAGATATCTCAACGTATAGGCAACTCCGTTTAGTGCTATCGGAAGGGGCTTTGAGTCGATAAATATGTAGGTGGTGAGGGTGGATCCTTTTCTAGCGGGCCTTTTCCAAGAATTGCCGTATTGTGAATACCTGGTCTATGGTGGATTTGCCTGGTCTAAAGCCACACTGATAAGGCCCAATCAGTTCGTTAACGGTGGGCTTCAGTCTCTTACACAATACGCTCGTTAAGACCTTGTGACTTATGCTTAGAAGGCTGATCCCGCGGTAGTTGGCGCAAATGGCCGGGCAGAGCACATTTAAATTCCAGTCGTCGGCCATGCCTTCATCTGACCATATTCCGCATAACAGTTGATGCATGCACCTTATCAACATCAGCATCGTTTAGTCATCTATGATATCTATAAGAGATTGTCGTAATAGGCCCTAAAGCCACGAGTAAAATCAAAACGAATGAGCGATCCTTGCAAGCTTATAAAGTGCTGTTCTCCCACTCTGTGTGATCTAGTTAGGAAAATTTAAGAATACAAGTTCTCGCTCTTCGAAAGGCAGTGGTGTAATTAACGAAAACAAAAACAAAATTTAGAATTGTTTGGTCTGAAAATAAGTACACATTTTCAGTATACATTGGTTATACATATGCACATATTTATTTCTTATTTACACTTAGGTTATTTGCTAATTATTTACAAATCTTTAATTAAATATTTATCTTTGTATCAAAATTAACCTCCAATTTTTTCAACAATTTTTACTATGTACAAAAATCTATATCTAAATACAATTAGTACGCTAAATATTAAAACTAAATTAAGGTAAAATGTTAGCAAGCTATATACGTACATATGAACAAGTTTACAAAGTTACTTCTCAAACAAAAATTTCATATATGATCAGCCTATTCGCTCCACAGTGCATATATGTTTATTCCTGTGTAATAGGTGACAGTACATATATGTGAGTATGTATATATGTATGTAGATCATATTCGCTAGCTATGCAAATATTTGTTTCTTAAAGTCAACTAACTAAAGTATCTTATGCACACATATTTACAAAGTCTTTTTCTAAAAAAAACACACTTTTCGCAGCATTTTAAAAACAATTTCTTTGACTAATAGCATAGACAGGTGGCAAAGTTGATCCGCATCAAGTCGATTATTCGGAATTATCTTGGAAATTAATTGCAGTTGATCCGGTTTAATTCACAACATTAATGCGGATCAGGGAGATTTTCGATTACAACCCTGATCAAAACGACCAGCTGTTGTCTATTGTGAATGAAAAATAAACGAAGCAAATAAGGCAAGCCAGTTTAGCATCCGCAATAGCCGAGTGGCGAGAGCACTACATTCGATAAGGCCAAGGTTCGATCCACGTTCCCACCAATTTCCAAAAATTGCACGTCTTATTTTGCTTTATTTCATTTCATATTATTACTTCAAGTTAATTTAATTTTTAGAGTTAAATTTATATTAAAAAAGTCCACAACATTAAAAAAATTATAAATAACAATTCAATGCCTTAAAAAATTTTCGAAAAATTTGCCGGCCGTGGGATTCTCACCCACGATCTCGTGGCTTGCTTAATCCGCAATACTACTTCCGTCAGTCAGGCTACAATGGTGATCAGTTCAACTGCTGCGTTAATCCGGATTAACGTTATTATCTGTCTATGCCATAAGTCAGATGCGCGAAAACTTATGTATTTATTTCTGTGGCATTTTATTTAAACAACCTATCTCGAGATGGAACATTTTCCCTTTAAAGCAATGTTTCATTGGCTTCTCAAATTATATTTTAACGACGATTAACTAGCCATAGGTGTACCTTAAGATACACTTAATATAAGCTTAATAAAAACATAAAACTTTTCGAGGCAAACTTATTATTATTTTTTTAATTTAAAGGCCACCCTTATAAAGCAAGTTAAGTTATTTTAATAAAATGCCACAAATTTATATTGTTAGCTGCTTATTAAAGAGTGTAACTCTCACACAACTAGTTTAGTCTTGGCATTTGGATTTAGTTTAACGAAACTTTTAAATCTATTTAGCAACTGTGCTGCCAGCAGCAATTTTTTTCACGCACATACTTATACACTGTCTTAAGTACAGACATACATACATCGCTTTTAATATCGAGTTCGTTTTCTTGCACTACTCGCCTATATTGTTGAACTAGTACGGGACTTAATGGCTGACGATGGAGTTTTTCGTTATGCTTCGAAATCGTTTAAATTAATTAAAATATATTTTTATGTTACATAAATATTTGGTTTTCTCAAAACAATAATTTTTTTTTTTTATATATTTTTGTCCTTCATTTAATCGCTATAAAAGAATTTGAGTACTAAAAATGTTCCTTTATAAATGCGTTAGCTGTTGAATGAATGAAAATATCTATGTACATTTGTTTCGTTAATAAATTTTATTTTTTTTTTACTAAATTACACTATGTATAACAGCCTAAACCAATTTGGACGAATCCACAAATTGAGGAGTACGATTTTGCGTTTACGAATTCGAACGAAAAATTACACTGAAGATAACACAACACCGAAACCAATTTAGGTTAGGTTAGGTTATTTTGGTTGGCTGACCACCTAACATAGAGCCAGATGAAGATAGAGACTTTAGTTAAGTATACTCGAAGTAGACATCATTTAGTATCAATGCCTTTTGAGAATTTCAGAAGTGCTTAAAGCCCAAGTGCTGTCACGTCTTCACGATTATTAAACTATGGAGCTCCCAAAATATTTTTGATACAACAGGACAAAGTCATAGGATGCGTTCTAAATTCTCCCTTGTTCGAGTTGTGTCAAGTTTGACTTCAAATCAAATTTGACCAGGTGTTACGAAAATTCTTTCCAAAATACATCAGCTTCCAAGAATTAGTACTTCTGCACCATTTCTCAAATGTTTAATGGAAGGACGATTATACATATAATCGCCAGCGTTTAAAGTTCGGCTCCCATCAGGACCTCAGCCATCGAATGGTTCTTTAAAAAAACAACGCCACCTCCCAATTCTTGGTTCTTCGCTGTTATTCAATAGTGTTACTGCTTCCGCAGTCCACCCAAGGGCTCATCGTATATGTTTCATTCCCCTAAAACAACACCGCCATGATAGGTTTTGTAGAAGAACTCCAATTCACCGAGGAGGCAGTATCATACTCAATAACCTGAAAACCTCAACGACACAATCTACAAAAGGTCTACTAAACCGTAACGAGGCAGATGTACATATGTACATACATATCTGTGGTCATAAGCATAATAACCGCCTAGGTCGACTTAAGAAATAATTGATTTATACATATCTATGTATATGCTATCGTATTCGGCAACTTCTATTCCATGTGTATGTGAAATTCCCATCTCGCCAGCTAGGCTATTTAAAAAGTCATAGACGAACATATTTTGGTTTCCCCATATGGTTAACATCATAATCCAAATGCTTAAAACGTTTTTATCTCAAAGTCAAGTTTTCCGATTTACGCGGCTATTGCTTATGACCACAGACATATTTGGTCAAGCATTTTTTAGCAAGGCTGCTACGACAAAATCATATTCGCTTGAACTCGATAAAAGGCGCTGAAGTTTAAATGAAGCCATATTTTTTGCATAAATGCGCTAGAAATGTTTAATCTATATATATTTCTAGTCATTCAACAAAATATTCTTAGTACGTCACTCTTAAATTCAGAGCTCAAACGGTGTAAACGCCTTGCTAGGCTACTGGCAAATTGTCCATCTTTTCAGCCCGCGAAAAGCTCTTCTATCTACATATGTCCATATCGCGCACTTTCCAACGTACGTTGTATTTCGATCACAAAACGGTTATGCTAAAATTGTATTCCTCAGTAGACCAAACATAACAGTTATGATGGCCTACGCGTTGACTGTCATGACACGACCCAAGAGTGCACTATTCCTGTAAATATATGTATTTATGTATGAAAAATAAGTTGTGTCCGTTAAAAATTATAAAGGTATGTATGTATGTATATTTTTCAAAGTACTTACTATTTTCGCCCGGAGACAGAGTGATGTGTATATCCTCTCGCCTCAATATGGGCTCTGTAGTAAAGAAAATGCAATAAAAGTACAATTTAGAAATCATTACTTTTTAGACAAGTTCCATGGTTACACTTTCGTTGCGGCAAAGCTGAGTACAAGAGTGGGAGCAGGAGCGAAACAGCAGGCAATTAAAAAAAGCGGCAGACACAATTCAAATTCTTTTTTTTTATATATAGTAGCAAAAAACCATATAAATCAAAGTTTCAAACTGTATTAACGCAAATTTAACGAATTTTCATTAAAAATTTTCAACTTTTTACTCAGACTTAAAAAACACATTTTGGCATGCAGTTTTATAGCCAGTTCAATTTAAGTGCCGTTTTCTCAACTGAAACTTTAATGCTTACTTTATATTTAAAGGTTGCTTTAAAATTTATAGTACTATGTAAAGCATTTCGATTATCGGTTTTTGACGAATGTACGTTTCTTGGCAGTAAACCAATTTAAAACCGATAATAAATTGCTTTACTTTAGACAACTAAAAATTTTAATACATTATTTAAATATAAAGTGAGCTTTAAAGTTAAGGGTTACTTCAGAAAACGGCCCTTAGTGTAATAATGGTAAAATTTTAAATGGCTAAGAAATCGTGTTGATTTTTAATAATTTTTTTGCTGACGGCTCTAGGTATTTTTCTCCATTTATATAGAAGAAAATATGAAAAGTTTGCCATACACCCCTGAGTCGAGAGTATTTTTGTAAGGCAGTTTCGAATAAATGTACTTTATCGATTCTCCTAATCTCGTTGTTTAGATCGTTCATCCACGGATCGTCCGAATTCGTAGGTCTGGTCATGTCATGCACTATTGCTTGTCTCGCCGTTACTGAGGGGAAACCCGGTCGGATTTTGGGGGATTGTGCATGCGGTATGAAGTGGGCGGATGCTGGAAGTTACGTTGGGTTATAACCAGGTTTTTGAATTGGGTGAAAAAATTGGTCCGTTCGGTTCGGCGGGTCTAAGCGTTTTTGCAGCTTTGGTGGTTCTTCAAACATTAAACCTTTGAAAAAAGTAGCTCGGTTTTCGGTCCGGATACTAAATTTGTGGAAATTTTCAGTTCGGTTAGTGGTTCATTTAATTAGTAAAAAAAAGCGGTTAATCCGGTACAAAACCGGTTCACGTGTCTGGTTATAACATCATAGTATTCAGCCAATTTTCGTTATGTAAATTTGTTACAACTTTTTTTTTTATTGGAGCGGCGTTTCGGAAGCAAAATAAAACAAGTAGGAAAGTCTAAGTTCGGGCGGAGCCGAACATTAAATACCCGGCGCAAGTATTAAATATATGTTTTTCACCTTTCCGAAAGCTACCGCTACATGGTAAACCGGGGTGTATCCATTTTGAGTAAATTAGCGTCCTTAAATTTCGAAATATTGAAGTTTCAAGCATTTCTGAAATTTACTGTTATATGAAAAGCGGCCGTAATTTTAGTTCGATTTCAATAATTTTCAACGTTTTGCTTCTATGTGGCAGGCATAATAACCACACCGAGTTTGGTACAAATTGGTAGAACGGTTACCGAGATACATATATGTGATCATAAGTGGGCGGTGCCACTCCCATTTTTCAAAATTTTATCCTAAACGTATTTCTTGGTAAAGAATTGTTGCAAGCATCAATTTTGAATAAATTAGCTTCAATAAATACTGATTTATCGAAGATTTCGTATTTCTCTAAATTACCGTTATATGGGATGTGGGCGTGATTATTGTCCGATTTTAAAAATTTTCGGCCATTTCGTATGTTATACCAAGGTCAACAACTGTGCCAAGTTTGGAAGAAATTAGTGCAGCGGTTACCAAATTATACACATGTAACCATAAGTGGGCGTGGCTACGCCTATTTTCCAATAAATTATAATATTCTTATTTTTTGTCTAAAACTTATTGTAAATATCAATTTTGAGTGAATATTCTTCAGTAGTTACTAAAATATCGCAGTTTTCGTATTTCGGAAAATTACCGTTATATGGGAGGTAGGCGTGGTTATTGTCCGATTTTGCCCATTTTCAATACCATCCGTCCTACGCCGGAAAGAAGTGCACACACCAAGTTTCGTTAAGATATCTCAATTTTTACTCGAGTTATCGTGTGCACAGACGGACGGACGGACGGACGGACGGACAGACAGTCACCGCTTAATCGATTTCTCTTTTAATCCTGATCATTTATGTATACATTTGTCTATATCTATCTCGATTCGTTTTGTCTGTTACAAACAACCGTTATGTGAACAAAGTTATAATACCCTTGTGCACAAGTGCGCTCGGGTATAAAAACACTGAATGAATTAAAAGAGGACAATAAAAAAACTAAATTAAAAATAAATGCAACAACTTAAATTTTACATGCCAGAGAAAATAATTGCTTATAAAAAAGTTTCTATTTATAGGCTTGCGTTAATAGTAAGAGAACTTGAAAATTAAAAACCTAAACAGTGCAAACTCTTTTGGAATTCGAATTTGATACAGTTCTAATTTTATTTAGAAATTAGAAAACATTTTAGAAAATGTAAATGAATCACAACGCATAAGGGAATGTTTAGTTACATATATCGATATTATATGCCTTTATTATCTTAAATTTGTATTAAATGATTTTCGTTAAGTTTTTATTAAACTAAAATAAGATATAATTAGATTAATATTTATTTTAATTTTTTGATTAAAGCACATATTTTCCTTCTTTTTATGTTCAAACATATCCAGCTAACTAATGTAAGAGCAAGCAAAAGCTTTTAAGCTGCATGCAGTCTATACACATGAAACACAAACATTTAAACGCATAAAACTGTGCTTAACTTTACAGGGTAGTATATACAAGCGTATAAAAAAATTACCGCATTTGGTTAAATAGAAAAAAAAGAACAAAAAAAAAAAAGAAATAAAATAAAATTTAAACTTAGTTACTAGTTTCATTAACCTAAGTATTGCAAAAACAGAAAGTACTCAGCACACTGAAGCAAAAAACACGCCATGCATGTGGATGCCCTTCAGCGCTATTCAGCAGCCACCGTGCGTGCGGCAGCAGTGGTGGCACTAGCACTCGCCCCCGCACCATCCGAACCATGAGCAATTGCTGCTGGTGCCGCTGCAGCTAAGGCAGCCGCAGCAGCTGCTGCAGTCGCTGATGTATTGCCAATAAATGCTGCACGTGAGGATGGTGGCGTTGCCGCTGCCACTACTGCCACTGACGCCGCATTAGCTGTGGGCACAATGCGTACCGTACCGGGTAGTATGCGCACACATTCACACGCCTCGCATATGTTCAATTGTGGATGATTGAGGAATGTACACATGGAACAGGGCCAACGTTCGAGTGGTTCTTCATCATCACCGCCATCGGTATTCGAATCGGAATAATCTTCTTCGTCGGTGGATGGTTGTTGTACATACGATGGTAGATGACTGACATAATCTGGACGCTGTTGTTGGTAAGCGACATTCGGCGACGATGTCTGTAACAAGTGCGAGGAGTTGGGTGTACTAGCTGCGCTAGCGTGTGTACTGCCAGCGCCAATACAACTGCCTGTACCACAACCAGGCGTATTTTGAGGTGAGAGGAAATCTCGTTCAGCCTGCTGGTATGGGTAAGGATATAGCACCGGTGGCGGTCGCGCCGGTCGTTGACGTGGGAATGGTTGTTGTTGTTGTTGTTGTTGCAGTTGCAGTCGCTCGGCTTCGGTTAGCTGGCCTGCAAGTAGAAGAGTTTAATTTAATTCGGATTTGTGTTTTTTTCTGCATAACTGAATATATGCTTACCATATCGTCGGATATTTTCAATTTGATTCAACATTAGCTGACAATCAGTGCGTAATCTTTCTATTTCATGATCCAGTCTCTCAGATTCGCCGGGATTCAAATTTTCTATTAATATGTTGATTTCCTCTTCGACATGGCCAAGTTTCTTTTTGTTCTCACGCAGTGCTGTGGCCAGCTTGTCACGGCGCGTCTTTTGACGTTTTATATTCTCGGTGAAAGCTGTGAATAGTAGAGGAAGGAAATCGTTAGTAAAATGAAAAATTTTCATCAGTAATTTGGTATAGGAACAACCGTCCGCGGAACATTAAACATCGGAAAAATCTAGCCAACTCAAGAATCACAACAAAAAAGTAAACGTTTTAAATCTCATAAGTTGAAAATTTTACAGAACAACAAATGATAGCTCTTACTGCACTTTATTCCAATAGGCATGCCGTCAGAGACGTTAAACCTTGGGTCTTAGTGAAGTCATCTATTCAGTTGGCAGAAAAGGGCCAAAAATCAACGCAATTTTTTAGATACTTCAGACTTGCACTTTGTTATACTAAAATTAGTTGGGCTATAAAGCTACATACTTAGAATTTCTCTAAAAAAGTTGCAAATTAGTATGCAAATTTATTGAATTTTCCTGAGTTTTGAACAAAGTTTAGAGATTTTGTTTTTATGTTTTTTGGTGAAGTACGAACTATATTTTTATTAAAAAATATTGAAAATAAATTAGAATAAAAAACTTTGCATATATTGTGAAAAATTCTCTGTGCCAATACTTTTGTCCGGCACTGTACATAAATGACGCAGAAAACTCCAAGACGCCAAAAAGATTAGCTAGGCGCACTTCATCTTCAGCGTCAGCAAATTAGAATTTATGACCCTTAAAACATGAAAACCAATAAAAATGTGTTTATTGCAAGAGAGCGCCAAGTTTCTTTTTTTTATATTTGATTAAATAAAATCTTAGGATACTATTTTCGTGCTTGTCAAAAATCATTAAATGTGCCCACTTTGGTCCACTCCATTAAAGCGCACACAAAACGCCCACATTTGACGCTATACATAAAAAGTTATGGACAACAGTACGTGTCGGACAAGTCGTAAACCATTGGATCTACAAATAAAATACGCAACACAAATTCATTTTTAATCCGATAAAATATCGTAAATGCACCCTATTGCTACCAAGACCCATTTTAGTACGTAAAATAAGCCAACAAATTAGAATTTAAGATATTTTTAATATATTTATTATAGAAAATCCATCGAAAAGTGAAATTTTTAGAAAAGTAAGAACGTAAATCTATTTTCACTTCATCTTTTTCAGCTGTTGTTAAATTGTTTATTTGTGCTCGTTTTATTTTTGGCATTGCTAAAATAGCACACCGTGGGTATCTTAAAAATATAAAAAGAAAGGAGAAATGTTAAACAAATTAATAAACATTCCTGCGCATTTTTATCTGATTTCTAATAATAATTTAATAGCGTTAAAGTGGCAACAAAGAAAAAGGAAAAACAATGTTGCCTGCGCGGCGCTGCTGGACATAAACGAAGATCGCCAATCGACGAATTCTTTGGATATGTGTAAATAATTTTTCTCAGTATTACACGTCAAAAGCAGTGATCTATTCATTTGTTGAGATGGACTTTCTTAAGACGGAACGTTTGCTAGCTTACTGGGTTCGCCTTTCGAGCTGAGCTGAAGATAAAACTAAATGTGACAGTAAAACTCTAGAAGGAAATTTTTTTACTAGCTTTGAAGAGAAGGCATATTGTCGTCCAGTTGAACTGATTAATCATTTGTATTGCATAGCCTACGTACTTGCTCCTGGATAGCATAGCAAATTTCACGTTGAGATATGGAGTGACTTTTTAGTCAGTTAGATCATCTAAACCTAACCAACCTACTGTTCTTCCTGAATCTGAGGTCAAAAGAATGATATCATTCGAATTAAGACCTTTGACCTTGATCTGTAGACATGATACGAGTCATATGGATACCGTTATCATGCGATATATTTTTTCGTATCCCAAATAACGTACCGGTGGGTCTAGTAGAATAGAGTGTAACCGTAGTGATAAACTAATCTATGATAAACCTTTTATCACAAAAATTTAAACATAACTCAAAGAACGACCTATATTTCACAGCGCTACATTTAGAGTATTTATTTCTCATGGTCGGCACAACTACCGGAACTGCTTTTAAGAAATGAACGGTAAGAGGACGAGATTTCCAATAAAATTATGTCACATTCTCGTTCGGCAATTCTAAAAGCACTTTCTCGAATGTCTATCGGAACAAGATTTTTGGAAAACTAGATTGCCCCCACCTGCTTCGCCGAGTGTATGAAATTTCTGAGCGCTACAGTAAGCGTAATTTATTTCAATGAAAACCGAACATATTTAGAGTCAGCTTGAAACATACCAGATTTTCAAACTAAAACTTTCTTAACCCTTTTTCTTGTGATACATTTCAATTAACTTATTTCTTGAATTCAATCCGAATTTTAGTTTTTAAATACGTGGCAACCCTGCTACATGTAGCTTAGAAACAAAGCATTTTCAAGACCATTTCCATGTATACCCGTAATATTTTAATAATTCATTTAACTTTTCAATATAGTTTAGTTTAGAGGGTGGCAACAAACCCTCTTCAAACACCTCAGAAAATTCTACTTAATTAAATTTGGCTTTTTAAACAATTGGCAGTCTCTCAAAAATATTTTCAAACTACAACCTTTCGTCTGACACCCATATTGTGTGACTTATACCACCAATTACTTAATTCCCCTGATTCCAGTAAAATCCGATTTTTTAAATTGGTGGCAACCCTCATACATGGATCCTAGAAACAAAGCCTTTTCAAAACCATTTAGACTGATACACATATTGTAATAATTAATTTAATTTATACAGGTGGCAACCCTAGTAAAACATCTCAACAATATTCTAAATACTCAAACCAAAACCTTTTGAAGTCTCTTTCGTCTGACACCCATATTGAATTTGATTATTTAAACAGGTGGCATCATTCCTTCATGAGCATTGGAATTGATTTTATATAGCTCTATTCCAGATACCAGAACTCTACCACACATAATACCCAAGATAGGCACGCACCTTTGTCTAATCGAGATAAAGGATATCCTATGTTTTAAGTTGGACTAAGTTGCAACATTGTGTAAAATTTCATAAGGATCGCTTGAATTTTAGTTGCCTTAAACAATGTACTATGTACGGGGACAGTCATATCGGCCTAACCACTGAAACATGGCCTCGCAAACTTTGTGTTCTCGACAAATGGAACAAAAGAGCTGTAATAGATCTCTAATGCGTATAAATTCGATCCGATGGCAATAAGTACTCTTAATACATATATCATTTTGAAACTATAGTGGTCCTTACAAAAGCAAATAAGATAAAAAATTATCAACCAAAGAAAGAGTAAATCGTATTTTATCTAAAAATTATGACGAGTTTATAAAATCATTAAGTTTATAGTATTCAAAAATAAAACTGAACATGCATGTAAAAGTGCATAAGGTATATTTTTTCGGTTTTTATTCTAAATTTAAAAAATTCATGCTAAATTTAACAACACACCGGAAAGCAAACAAAAATATTCGCACATACTATGTACAAAGGTGTACATTTGCAAACGTGTGACTTGAAATACATATGTTTGTACATTAGACCTTACCAGAAAAAAAAACCTCCCCTTATACTATAGAGTCTAAAATATTTTTGCAAAGCAACTTTGAAAAAAGCTTTTATTTATTTTTTTGGTCGAACACAGAGCTTAGCTTTTTAAATTTTTTCGGCATTTACACTCCGATGTTAATTTATGTTATACCGATGCTTTTGCCTTGGGGAGAAAATGTTTTTTTGTTCCAAAGTTCATTGACCTCAAGTACCACGTTCTAGTACTTATCCACTATACTAATTTCCTACTTAAAGCTCACCAAAAATCATTAAAGCTTTGTTAAGGAAGTATTTTGGTTATTTCAGAATTAAAGCTCGCCAAAAATCATTAAAGTTTTGTTAAGGAAGTATTTTGATTATTTAGTAGAACAATAAAAAAAAAAAATATTGCCGAATGCAGGTGTCACCGAAAAGTGTTCGGCAAAAAAAGGTGTTTTTCGAAATTGCCTTGCAAAAATTGCTTAAAATCAGAGGTGATGCTGTCTAATGTACATATGTATGAGTTTATGCAACTATAGACGAAAAGGTAAATGTGTTTTTTTTTTAGCGGGTGTTGAGAAAATGCTGCTCAGCAATCAGCGTCATAACTTGTCTGTCGTTTCCTGCACGCACCTCTCCCCAGACATGATGTTTCTTTTTTGGCGGCGTACAGTGGGAGAAGTGTGTTAGTTGAATAATTGAGGTAGGTAGGCGGCGGACGTGAGCTGCGCCAGCAACTGTCGCGTGATCGAATGTCAAATATGCATAGGACATTATTAAGAAATAAAAAAAAATGCTAGAGCGTGGCGACGCACAACTGCTACACAGTGTGTTTTTTTTAATAGAAGGGTCCGCTATAGTTTTTTTTTAATTTTATTAATTAGTTTTAAAATTTTAATCCTTATTTTCATTTGCCAGCAGTGTAAACTTTGGGAGATAAATACATGCGGCACAAGTTTCGAGTCTACTAGATTTCTGAAAATGAGGCCTTATTTTGGGCAAAAGTGGGAGTATAAAGGACTCAAAATGAAGGAAATTAGCATGTGGCTACAGAAGATATGGAATAAATTCACCGACGAAGACTTGCGTGCCACTTGCGCTTTTCTCTCAAAGTGTTTACCGATGGTAGACCCAATAAAATCAAATTAAAGTAAAATTTACGGAAAATTAACAATAAAATAATAATATAAAGGGCCCTTTCATTTTTCGAAAAACCCTGGGTGCAATACATATGTATGTAGAGCAAATAAAAAATGTATTACATACAAATAAAAAATATGAAAAAATTATAATTTCAAATCTATAAATAGAAAAGTATTAAAAAATATTTAGAAATTAAATTTATTTATTAGCTGAGTTGCGTAAATGCATAAATATGGTATGCCATAAAATTTTTATCAGCACCATATTCCTTATTGTTTTCACTTCTTCGAAACTTACAAAGCTAAAAGAACTAGGATTAAGGTATAAGGTAGAGGTTCGCACTCAGTAGCTCACGATAACATCACTGTGGCTCGCCATGGCTCACTTACATCAAACACACC